TCACCCTCTGAAGCCCTGCTTTGGGCATCTTGGTATGATTCTTTAGCCTTAAGCTTCATGACATTCCTATGAAATAATTGTTCTGATAACTAAGAATCAACACGATTTGCATTTTAGGCACCAAAGGCCTGAAACCCAAAGAAGTGGGGAGCTTCAGCTTAAAACAAAACTGAGTCCTTCCAGCTATAGGACAAGACATGGTCCCAGCCACTGCTCTCAAGCTGGAGATGCATAATTATGAGTTGCTTTTTGCAGAATAGTGTTTGGTAGTTTCCCAGTGAAATATCAATGGTGCGATCATAGTGGCTGTAGAAGCAGGATGAGGCAGTGTTGTTGGCTGACATGAATCATTGCACAGCCATAAAAGAGAAGAAGGAGTTTTTCGCTTGCCTCGTTGGAGTGCAGCGACGCGGCAGAGGGAAGAGGTATATGACTCCTGTGCTCCATCATCTGTGTCTACGCAGGGAGTCCGAGGTCAGAGGTAGCACTGAACACCAGTGTGACTGTAGGCTTCTGAAGACAGACACGCCTGCAGCCCACTCACCTCGACCTGGGCTCGAGCTACTTGAATCACTTCAGCCCCTAAGAGGGCAGGAGACAGGCTTCAGTGTCTGTTAGCATCTCCCCTAAGAGGCCGGATGAAGCAAGATATGAGATTACAGAAAATGAGACATATCCTGACTCCAAGCAGACATCATTTCTGTGTCTCAGTCTTGAGAACGTCAACGTCACAGCCGGGACTCAGCCTAGACGCAGCTTAAGAGCGTGGTCCCTGAGCAGACTGCCTGCCTTTGCATCCGGGCCCTGCTGCTTAGGGTCTGTGTGGCCCTAAGCACGTTGTTTAACCCTTTTGCTCCTCAGCTTTATCATCCTTGATATGAAAATAATAAATAGTAGCACCTGCTATGGAAGGCTATTGTCCGGGTTCAATGAGTTGCTACACGGGAAGCACTTAGAAGTGGGAGTAAAGTAGAAAATCCGTGAGAGTAAAAGTATGAAATCAGTGTTTCCTCTTCCTCTCTGCCCACCTTACAGCCTTGGAAGCGGTCTGAGCCACTTTGATCACTTAAAATGAGGCACCCATTAAAGTCTCTTCCAGCTCGAGGCTTCGCTGGTTCCGTGTCAGTGACTCCAGGTCTCCAGGAGTGGGGAGGGGCCGCGCCAGCATCCTCAGGGAGCTTGTTAGAAATGCAAATTCTCTGGTCCTTCCCGGGTCTTACTTAAATCAGCATCTCAGGGTGGACCCAGAAGTCTAGGATTTAACATGTGCTCCAGGTGATTTTTAACGTTGGAGAAGCCTTGTCTCAGAACCTTCTCCTTACTGAGAAACATGAAGCCACATTCAGGAACCTCACATCCGGGAACCCCGCCCGTGGTGCTACCGTGGTCACAGTACCTGCAGGGACCAAATGTCTTCATTGTTCCCTTTGACGTGTGGGCCGGTTGGAAGCAGAGCATTTGGAGGGATTTTTTAGTTCCTTGGTACAACCAGCTCAGTCAATGAAGAAAAGAGAGATGTTTAGAATGAGAGGAGAGTCCTGGCTGGGGCAATTATGATGCAAGGGGCTGAGTTTTAGTCCCCAGTTTGTAGATTATTTGACCTTAGATCAGATTTTCACCTCCCACCCTGTACTGCGGTCCAAATAAGTCTGTAAACTGGAGGTTGCAGCTTTGTGATTTGGGACCTTGGAGGATGGCCTCCAGCTGCATTTTTTTTTTTTTTTTTTAATTTGAGTCCAGCTAGGCTCATAAGGGAACTCTGAGAAGTCATTCTTTGACATAAAAAGACTATTAGGCAATAAAAATTGGTCAACAGTGTTTGCTGAGTTTTCCCAAAATTCAAGCTATTACCGTAAGTAATCACTGCAGTTTTCTAAAGAGGAAAGAGTAATAAGGGAGTGGACTTTGGCATCAACCTCGAACTCTCTCCCCACTCCTGCGTCTCATTTCATGTATTTTCTCCAGGCGCTTTCCCCCTGTGTGATCAACCAACACAAATATAAAACACAACATTTCTAAAATGCACTTCTTTGATCTTCTATAGGACATATTTCTTGTTAGTTACTCCTTGAGTAACAGTGAAACCATTACTTTTCCAGTTTTCTTCCCAGGCTGAAAACTGTGAGTCAACTCACAGCCTTCTGATGCATTACAACATCTCTTGGGTCTGCTTCTTAAGAGTCCTTCTATTTTAAAGACACAGCCCAGTTCAGGTTCTTACCACCCCATGGCCGGGTGGGTTCAGCAGCCTTTTGGCCGTACCCTTGATGGACCAGCCTATTCCCCACCTATCCAACAATGCACATACTTCCATTGCCATGGCAACACCTCTCAAAGACTCCTTTCTTATCATGTCCTTCATGCCTTTGACAAAGAACTTGCTCTGCCGTCATTTTGTCTATTCCGTCAAATCCAAATATCTCTGCCCAGCCTCCAAGCTATTGGCTAAATCTGCCTCCCATTTCATCAAGAGAAGTCTTCATATTCGTTTTCATTCCAGAAAATCCACGTGCCATTTTCATCACTCCACTTACTTCTTCCCACCTCCAGTGCACCGCGCATACCACCTTCCCCGTGCTACCCACAACACACTTTGCCCATCCCATGTTTTTCTTCCTCCTTTCCTCCCATTTGTCCTCATCTCCTGTGGCAGAGCTCTTATTAAGCATTGCCTCTCGTCCCCGCTGTCTTTATAGGTCCTGCTACTGCTATATCCACACTCACGTCTACCTTGCTCTGCAGATTTCCCTAAGCAATTTTCATATGTAAATTCTCATCTGGTTAGTTTACTGCTGAAGATCAGAGGCAGCAGAGAATTTTCCATTTCTTTTGTTAATGCTACACTTTGGGGGATCAGTCCAGAGAGTTGAGGTCAATAGAATGAATGCTCAGCATGAAGTGGGGGCTCACTACATGTTATCCACTGATGGCAAAAAGGTTGCTTGATCCTCTGAATACAACCAGGGGAGAAAAAGCAGTTAGGAATCCCCCTAACTGAAGCATATTTCAGGGAGTTCTAAGGAGACCCAATTAGAAACCATCTTTTCTGTTTTTATGTGAATGGTAAGAGCTCGTATGTGAAAAAAAAAACTGTGGTTTTTGGATGGCTGCACGCTTCTCTTCTGCTCTGAGTGCTTGCCTGGTTTGCATTACGATTTCCTTCCTTGTTGGAAAGCTACATAGACTTTCTCCCTTTCTTTGGAAGAAGTAGGACCTGTTGGAAATGTGAGGCTCCAGGATGGAAATGCAATGGCCTTGGCTGTAGTGCTCTGTAGTGCATTTCTTGACAGGTCCTGAAAAGACGATTGAATTCTGGCCTGAGCTTTTTTTTTCCTGCAGTATTTGGATGGGTTTCAGCTTCCATGTTTGGCTGGATAATCGAAATAGGTTTTTTTTTTCCTTCCTCAGCAATCGTATGTACAATTTCATCCTTTACAGTTCAAATGGCGCACTTAACTACTACACAGATACTTTTGGATGTGATAGAATCATAGCTCTTTCACAAACAAACAACCCATCTTTTAAAATGACGTGGAAACAGGTGAAAATATAAACTGGTCATACTATCCTGGTAGAAAAACTGGCAGGTGTGTGGTGAGTTTGCTAGAGGATACGAACTTACATTGAAGATCTTTTTTTAATTAAACACGGGCATTTTGCAAACCAGAACTACAATGAGGTATCACCTCACACCGGTCAGAATGGTCGTCATCAAAAAATCTACAAACAATAAATGCTAGAGAGGGTGTGGAGAATAGGGAACCCTCTTGCACTGTCGGTGGGAATGTAAATTGATACAGCCACTATGCAGAAGAGTATGGAGGTTCCTTAAAAAACTAAAAATAGAACTACCATATGACCCAGCAATCCCACTCCTGGGCACATACCCTGAGAAAACCATAATTCAAGAAGACACATGCACCCCAATGTTCATTGCAGCAGTACTTACAATAGCCAGGACATGGAAGCTACCTAAATGTCCATCGACAGATGAATGGATAAAGAAGATGTGGCACATATATACCGTGGAGTATTATTCAGCCATAAAAAGGAACAAAACTGGGTCATTTGTAGAGACGTGGAGGGACCTAGAGTCTGTCATACAGAGTGAAGTTAGTCAAAAAGAGAAAAACAAATATCGTATATTAACGCATATATGTGGAATCTAGAAAAATGGTGCACATGAACCAATTTTCAGCACAGGAACAGAGACACAGACAGAAAACAAACATGTGGACACAGGGGAGGAAGGGGGGTGGGATGAACTGGGAGATTCGGATCCACATATATACACTACCATGTGTCAAATCGATAGCTAGTGGGAACCTGCTGTACAGCACAGGGAACTCTACTCAATGATCCGTGGTGACCTAAATGGGTGGGATGGGGGGGTGGGAGGGAGGTCAAGAGGGAGGGGATACATGTAGACATATAGTTGATTCACTTCGTTGTACAGCAGAAACTAACACAGCATTGTAAAGCAACTTTACCCCAGTTTAAAAAAAAACAGGCATTTTGGAAGGACTTTTACTTAATTGGAAAACTTCTCCCCTCTTTTATTTCATACGATGAAAACATTCTATCTCGTCATCTCTGCAATGCCTGTGGCATGGTGCGAGTGTGGTGGGCTAGGAGTTTTGATGCTCTGTTTTGATGCTTTCTGATAATCTTCAAAGGGCTGCTGGCCTTGGAATCTGCTCCGTCTCTAAAATTCTAGCTTTAGTGATCAGATAAACCTGCTTTTCTTTTTTTTTTTTTTTTCCTTTGTGATCAAGGAGGGGAGAAGCTGAAATGTGTTTTTATTCTGCAAAATATTTGAGATGGCAGAATCCCAAACGTTGCATTTTGTTCTAGAAACGAGAGCTCGTCAAATGATAGACTCCTTCAGGCTAAGGCAGAGAAATCAACAAGGCAGGGGGAACAGAGCCCCTGAGTGACGTGACATCGGTGGGTGATCGTGCGGTGCTGTCTGCTAACAACGCTGGCATTGTGCCTTCCAGGGTCCCTGCAAGTCATGAACAAAACCAGAAAGATTATGGAGCGCGAGGGGGCCACCTTCACCAACGCCTTCGTGACGACGCCCATGTGCTGCCCGTCCCGCTCGTCTATGCTCACGGGCAAGTACGTGCACAACCACAACACCTACACCAACAATGAGAACTGCTCCTCGCCCCCCTGGCAGGCAGTGCACGAGCCGCGGACTTTTGCTGTCTATCTGAACAGCACTGGCTACAGAACAGGTAAAGGGGGAGCTTTCCAGCCCGTGAACCTCTGGTAGTGCACCTCTGGAAGATGCACTGCATGGTGAAATATATGAAGTTCCAATCAGTCCCTAAGCGGAAGGAGCCGAGGCTTGTGTCTCTCAGCATCCTCTACTTTTCCCTCTGGTTAACGTCCCAGAGAGAGGTCCCTTAGAGAAAAGTCAGTGATTCTCAGCAGACACGTTAAGTGTTGTCCCCATCAGAGCAACCGGCAACTGGAATTTTCCAGGAGAACCTGCAACAGAAGAGTTTTCATCCCATGAACGTGCTTACCTCAACCCTCCAAATCTCCAGGCATCCCAGCCCAGCTTGAGGCCTGTCTTAATTGTTGGCAGATTCTTGCCCATTGGGTGAGAAATCATCAAGAGCTTTGAAATTGCTTAGCACCTACCCCAGGATCTGGGACACGATAGATTATCAAAATTATTTACTGAATTCGGACGTAACTGAAAGAAATCATCCAACGAGGTGTACCTTATTAATTCATCTGTTTATTTACTCATAATTAATAGCATTGGGAGTTTCTTTAGCTTAGTTTTGGTGACTTTTAGATCTCAAGTGTTCGCCCCCATCTCCCAGGAAAGGAGGGCATCCCAATTGCTACATCTTCTATCACTGTTTAACCTACATAGATGAGCGGTTTGGTTAGTTGGTCTTTTGCAAACTGGGGACCTCCTTCCAGAGAGGTCATGAACATCATACCAGTGTAAGAAAGAAGCAAGGCTCCTTCCTGTCAGGTTGCCCCCAAAACCTTTATTCTCCTAGCGTTTATATGCTCTCCTTGGGTTTTCTGAGCATTTCTTTATGAAAAGAAACAAAGATATTGATTGAGGGGCTGTGATGAAAAATAACTTTTTCAGAACCAACAAGACGTATTCATAAGAATTAAGGGTGTCATAATTAAAACTTGTTGAAAAAGATTTTCAGGTCTGCAGATTCTCTATTCTGAAGATTTAAAAGGAAAGGATATCAGATAAATGTATTCTCTCAAATCTCTTTTAAAAATGAAATTAACCTTTTCCACTGGACTTAGGAAATATGTGGCCATTTGCTTCTTTGCAGAGCGCCTTGTGCGCACTTAATACTTGTTATTTATGGATGAAAATATTGATTGTGGATATGATAGCACTGTCATCCACAGGCATTCAAGAGCTCCACTCACAGAAGAAACTCCTCCCATGAGCCTCAAGGGTGTTTGCTTACGCTTCAGAAAGAAACTAGGTTACTCAAAGTGCCTTATCCTGAGTGTGTTTTCCCACATAAGTGATTTAAGTTTATAGCACCTTTCACCTGCGAGCGCTAAAGCAATTTGCAAATCTATCAAACATCCCTGTAGGGTTCATAAACAGCAAATGTACTTAGCTCCATTTTATAACTGATGTGGGAATTTCAAATACTGTGTGATGACCAGCTCAGAAGCAAAATCAGAAATGGTCCCCTGATGCCTGATTCCTGATTTTGACCACCAAATTCTGTTTCGTTTGCGGGAAGCATTGTATGAAATCAGTGCCTTTCAACTCCCAGGCTCCCTTATAATTTAATTCCTAGTAGCAGACATAGAGAGACAGAGAGAGTTGGAACTTAGGGAATTAGAACTCTCACTGTATCCAGACAGGTGTGGACGGTGTCCATCCTAGGAAATGGAGATGCTGGTGACACAGAGAACCCTGCCCAGAACTTAGAACTGTCGATTAGGACTTGCTAATTCATTTCAGGGCTAAATCAAGAAAGGGCAAAAAGAAGATAATAAGTTCTGGAGAGATAGTGAACAGCAGTGTGGCTATAGTTGACAGTATTATATTGTGTACTTGAAATTTGCTAAAAGGCTAGATCTTGGATGTTCTCACCACAAAGAAAAAACTAGAAACTAGCAAAGATGTGAAGTGATGGATATGTTGATTGGCTTGGCAGTGGTTAATATTTCACAATGTCTATGTATAGCAGACCATCAGGCTGTAAACCTTACAATTTTTTTTAAGATTTTTTTATTTATTTTTGGCCACATCGGGTCTTAGCTGCGGCTCACAGGCTTCTCTCTAGTTGTGACGTGCAGGCTCCAGGGTGCGTGGGCTCTGTAGTTGTGGCGCCCGGGTTCCAGAGCACGACGGCTCTGTAGTTCGCGGCATGCAGGCTCTCTGGTTGAGGCACCCGAGCTCAGTAGTTGTGGTGCGCGGGCTTAGATGCTCCGCGGCATGTGGGATCTTAGTTCCCCGACCAGGGATCGAACCCGCGTCCCCTGCATTGGAAGGCGGATTCTTTGCCACTGGACCACCAGGGAAGTCCCACCTTACAATTTTTTTTTAAGTTAACATCTTTATTGGGGTATAATTGCTTACAATTTTTGATTGTCAATTATATCTCAGTAAAGCTGGGCAGCGGGGAAGAAAGGGGAAAAAAGGGAAATTGATATTTGATGCTTGCTTCCTCTGTACCAGGCACTTTAGCTAAGTTTTCTCACCTAATTCTTCCAGAAACTTTGAAAGGATTTGCCCATATTGCCAGTGAAGAAACCGAAACTCAGGAGGGTTTATCTGAGGTCACAAGCTAGTCAGTGACAGACTGAATCCAGCACACCTGACTCCAACATCTTTCCTCTTTCTTTATTTCTTTCTTTATCTTATTTCTTTACATATATTTCTATCATGCTTCATTCCGAAGTGCCTGGCAGAGACACGTAAAACACAGTAAGATACAGAGCAGTAAGGACACTGTCGAATGGAAACGAAGGGTAGAGCCAGTTAAAATCAAGGCAAAGGTTAATATGCAAACTGCAGGCACACCACGGAGTTGTAGAGAAAGGCTGCATATTTGGAGCTATCTTCCAGATGGCAAAAGCAAAAATGGAAATGCCATCCATTACACAGCTCACTGGGTCACCAAGAAAAAATAAATCTTGCTTCTAAGAAGTGGAGTGTACTCTGGTACTTGTTTCAATTACCCTATGTTGCGTCCACCCTACAAGAGCTCGAATAAAACTCAGAGATAATTTAGTTTTTCAATTCCTTTGTTCTCAGACGAACAAATTTAGACCTACAAGATTACGGTGACTTGCTGAAGTGACACATCTGATGTTCTAACAGGAAGAGTGGGCAACAGGACTTTGGTCTTCCGGCCTCTTTCCAGTATGCTACCCTAACCTGATGGGTTAGGTCTGGGATGAAGCTGCAGACCATCAGGCTTTCCCGGCGACAACTGTCAGTCCTTTGGTGCAGCCCCGTAGGCCTGCTTCAATCAGTTGTCTTCTTCAGGGAGAGGAGATTTGCTCCTGGAAACTAACTCAGATTCTGAAGGCAACCTTCTTCCCAGGGGTCTAGACACTTAGGTAATAATGGAATTTATAGTGAGTCATCCTGTAAAGTAAAAGGAATACTTTAAGGGAAACGGGACTTTTCCAAACACTTAGGGCTCGTCCAAACACTTAGCTATGAATAGAAAACGGATGACATACACTCAGGAAAATAAATTTTGATGTGCCCATTAGTAAATCAGAAAAATTAAAAATTGGAAGACTAAAATGGCAGTGATAATGAGCTACATAATTTAAATTCATCTTTGATGGGAAAATACTGACATGTCTCAGACAATTAGGAAGTAGAGATGTCTCTGTGACAATAATTATCGATCCAACCAGGGACAGAGACCCATTTGAAAATCCACAAATAAGCACATCAGGATGACAGACATCTTAGGAAGTTAAGAGAATTGACGAGTAGGTATTAAACCAGCATATTTATGAGCCACTAAACTAGTTGGGGAGGTGGGAGAAGCCAATATATAACGATTTTAATGTTTTCCTAATAATGAATACGTTATTTGGAACATTTAACTGAGAACCTAAGAAAAATAATGACGGAAACTGAACTATGTATTGTACATAAATATCCATCTAGAGAAAAGCACAAAGCAGCAATCAGTTTTATGAAGAACAACTCAGAGAAGACAAATTACTAAGAGGCTTATTTTGGGAGGCATCCAGAATACATGGATTTAAATGAATTGAATTGATCCAATATTGTATTTACCATTGTGTGACATGATTTTTCTTTTTCAGAACCAAGGCGTATTTTTGGACTGGCTGTAACTTAAATTTTTCTAACTTTACTCATGGAGAATATGACTCTACAACAGCTTAAATGTTTAAGAAGGGAAAATACAGTAACGTGTCTATTGCATTTTATGTCCTAAGTATAGTGGGAATGATACTGGATTATCTATCGTAAAAAGGAAAATTCTGCCTATCTGCTCAAAAAAGTTTTAGTTTAAATTTCTTGTGAGGGTATAGAAATGAATGTAAAACCTGGCATAAATGTTAAGGTAAGAGTAATAATCCATGTTTTTTTTTAACATCTTTATTGGAGTATAATTGCTTTACAATGATGTGTTAGTTTCTGCTGTATAACAAAGTGAATCAGCTATACGTATACATGTATCGCCGTATCTCCTCCCTCTTGCATCTCCCTCCCACCCTCCCTATCCCACCCCTCTAGGTGGACACAAAGCACAGAGCTGATCTCCCTGTGCTATGCGGCTGCTTCCCACTAGCTATCCATTTACATTTGGTAGTATATAATAATCCATATTTGAGAGGTAGCATCAAGTGTTAGAAAAAACCCCTGAACCGAATGGTGGAGAACTGGAGTCACATCCTTACTCTGCCTTAAACTTGTTTTGAGAACTTGTCCAGCCCAGTTTTCCAACCTATATAATGCAGAGATGTTTTTCCTGTCCAAAACTATTATATATTGTAATTTTTACTATAATCATATTAATTCCTTTAAAAATGGTAGTGTTCAAATTATAATCATAATACAGGATATGTAAAATCACATGTGAATTAAATTTTAGTCCTACTAATTCTTCTTCATATCACTGGGGTGAAAGGGCCAATATTTAACAGAGACCCAAAATAAAAATTTTTGGAGAGAATTCTTTTTGTAACAAAACAATGTAGACAAATTAATCAATTTTCTAGTTTCGTGTCTTTTTACATTACAAAATTTATTTATGTTACTTATAGCAAGTATATTTATTTATTCTCTAATATGAGATGTTTTAAAATGTAGAGTTCACTAAAAGTGAGACAAAGTAATATTCTTATCTTTATGAATTATGGTATTATCGATTTTTGATAAGTACACAAACATAAGGTATAGCATACCATAGTATGCTATTTATTGAGCCACACTATGCTTAGAACTATACTAGACATTGGTGTATGAAGAGCTATAAAGTAAGATTCCTGTCTCTGCTACACTTACAATCTAGTTGGGGAAGCCAGACTCATGTGTACGAGGTCACCTAAGAGTATATCATAATTTTAACTTGGTTCAAAATTATGTAAATTTTTAGTTACTACCAGTGAAGTCCTGCCACCCCAAATCTAATAATACATGGAGTAAAAGCTCATTTAGTATATCATTTGTTATATTCGATAAGATTTGACTTCCCTACAGCATCAGAAATCTTTTGTCTATGTGGGTACTATTGCCGACCTAAAAATAAATGCTTTTGCCTCAAATGGCTCAAGGGAATTTTTCTAAGTATTATGTAACAGGTAGTCCCGGACAGAAGTAGCATGGCCTAAAGTCAACAATCATTATAATCAGGTCTTCCTGATCTTTCTCCCTGTCACCCAACAACCCCCTGCCACCTTCTTAAACAGCTGTGAAGGGAAGTGTTTAATGGCCCAGAGAAAAGAATGATACAGAAGGAGGGGTAGGTGGTGTGTTAGTGACATATTCAGACAGTTAGTTAAGCTGGGTTGAACTGCCAGTGGCAAAGGACAGAAAAACTTCAAACCACACCCAATATAATGGCAACACGGGCGAGAAAATGTAGTTCATCTTAGGGAGGGAGAAAGAGATTTAATACATCTGGAGGAAAATAATTAGAAGCCCAGATAATCAGTTGCAGAGCACTGCCGGGAAGCGTAATGTTGAAAGAGGCCAGGGGTGATTACAAATGAGCCTCGGTCTTAGGAGGCAACCAGAAAGGCCGAGTAACTTGAAGCTGACAACGCTGGGTGCTGCCTCATGACGCACGAGGTCCCCGGTCTCTCTTGGAACCGGTGTGATGGGTGAGGCAACATCTGGAATACTGAATACATTTTTTACACCCCATTAACACAAAGACACCGAAAACCTGGAGGGAGTTCTAAAGCACATAACAAGCCCTATTAAGAGACTTCAAGGAATAGTTTATAAGGGGAGGATTAAGAGAAAGGGCAATAGCCATGGCAATGGGTAGAAAACAGTCCTAAATAATCTAACGGGTAAAACAATGAGGGAAGGGCAGGAATGACTTGTTATGGCTTCCCTGAGAGGAAAAAAAAAAAACAGAGAGAGAACAAAACTAAAAGTAGCAGGAAAAGAAAAAATCTAAAAACTAATTAAGCACGAAAATGTCAGCCAGTTGGGAGAGAAATTTGTTGCCACAAAGTAAATCAGGTTGGGGAAGCAAACTGTGTAACCTCTCAGGCAATGTTTTTAGATGCACAAGTGCAGAACTCTAGAACAGGATTTCCTTGCATTGCAGGAGGGTAAATTATTTAAAATCAGAGCACAGATCGTTGAAAGGCTAATGATCATAGCCATGGTCATCATAAAACTGGCAGTGACAGCATTTAATAAGCCCTCGTTATGTGCCAGGTACTGTTTTCAGTGCTTTACATATGTATTCATTCTTTTTGGTCCTCACAACCATCGTACTACTATTCCTGTTATCATCTTCATGTTTTTCCAGAAGGGGAATTGAAGGTAGACAGAGGTTAAGTAACTTGCCTCCGGCAGGATAGCTAACAAATAACAGAGCCAGGATTTGAATCCAGGCAAGCTGGCTCCAGGTTTTATATTGCAAACCACTATGATCTTTTACAAAAAGAGGGAAAAGTGGGGGAAAAAACCCTGGGGAGAGGAGCAGGCCAGGGGAAAGAGCTGGGCTTGAGGTTATTAAGTGAAAGGCTTCTGGAAACAGTCCCATTCTGAAGTCATGCTGGTGGGGTGTGGCTTTGGTCCGCCGCCTGTGACTCTTAAATCACGTTGCCTTTTGTCGGAAAGGAAAATCATCTTGTGGTTCGATGTGAAAAGGTGGTTAGTCTCTGAAGACGAGAACCCCTCATTAGAAGAATTTCTACTGCTCGGAGCCAGCTCAGAGGGAAACCCTGAGTCATAGCTGACATGAGACCCTCTGACATTTTGTCCCACACCCGTCCATCTGCTCAGGGACCCTGGCAGAATCCTCAAGCAGTGGGTGTTTGGCTAATTGACCACCTGATTGATTTACTCATTTGCAGATTCAACATATAAATATTCATTCAACAAGTAAACATTGCTGTGTTTCTCAGACTTGAGTCAGCCCTTCAAAGAAAGTAAATCCAATGGGAAGTGTCAACTTTTCTAACTCTGAAGCTCTCCTCTATGAAAATATTTAGACCAAATCAGCTTTTTTAAAAAAAAATCATAGCTCAATTGAAAACACAACATTTAACAAGTCCAGAACAGGTACCATCCCCAGAAGGCATGGGGCTCCATGAAGTCCAGTTCAAGAAACAAAAATTCATGCAGCCCCTAGACTACATGCAAGGATGAGGGAAGGGAGGTCCACAGATGAGGTCGAGGCAGTGTTTGCCCTCAAAACCCTTACAGTTTAAGGGAGATTAGGCTTCTTCGTGAACATAACTATACCACCAGGAAGAAAGGGAAGACAGCTTCAGAGCCACAGAAGTAAAGTGCTGTGGGATCGGGGCGAAGACTGGAATTGAAATGGCTTCTGCTCTGGGCTGATTCATACAGAGAGTGGCAGAGACAGTAGCACAGGCAAAGGTGGAGAGGTGGAAACCAGAACAAGTAGAGGCAACACGTTGACTGGAGAGAGGGACGATTCACAGAGACGTGCAAGATGGGGTCGGAGGCAAGGAAGGGCTTGGATGGCAAGGTGTCAAACTCAATGTGCTTCTGCAGGCGAGGGGGGGCCATCCAAGGTCATGAGAAGGTGATGTGACCCGAGCTGGTCTTCAGGAAGCTGACAGTGAGAATGGAAAGACCCTGGAGCCTGCATAGGAAAGCCGGTCAGGAGACAGTGGGCCTCCATGAGGGGTGTCAAGTAATCAGGAAACAGGGACAGATCCCAGAGCTCCGACCCCACTGTTGCACAGCGGCCTTTCTTGGGTGTGACCATGCCAAAATTACAAATGTGAAGGCCTTCCAGTGGCCTTTTCAACGAGCAGTGGAGTTTTTGTAGCACATATACCTCTATTTTACTATAATTCTATGAAAGTTAGTCGTCTAGGCTGTAACTCCATGTTGCTAGAATTTTTGATTATCAGTAATAAACACATTTGCAAAATACATATAATGCAAACACCGATGACATAAAATACATGTGACATAAAAACCCTGACCGCGTCCCATATAAACGGAGTTTACTACGGTTCCTTGGCTGGGAAAATGTGTACTGTCCTGATAGGCAAAAACAAAGACAAGTTTTTCAATAGCGTTTTTGAAATTCGCAACTCTCAAACAGTTAGAAAACTTATTTTATCACAAAGACAACTTTCAGTATTCCAAATTTCATACTGGCTACTTCTCTGATTGTTATGTCAACTTAACAAAAAGGTACATTCTGCTTTTATCGCTTGCACTCAGAGTATCATGATCATGGTGGCGATTTTACGGAACTATAATCTGTGTACTTGGGCACTACTTTTATTTATTCAAAAGGAAAATGTATATGTGTCACTTTGCTAAAGGATCAAAGTATTACATCAATGTTATTCTGGCATCCACTGTTACCAGGTTAACTTTTGTTTCACTGCCTTTTTTTCAAGTCATAATTTCACGTTGATGCATTTAGTTATGCTTAATCGTTTCATATGAGAAAATAATCCTTTTTTCCCATTGCAGCCTTTTTTGGAAAATACCTCAATGAATATAATGGCAGCTACATCCCTCCTGGGTGGCGAGAATGGCTTGGATTAATCAAGAATTCTCGTTTCTATAATTACACTGTTTGTCGCAATGGCATCAAAGAAAAGCATGGATTTGATTATGCGAAGGTAATTTTCAGGCACTTTTACACTGCATCAATTTACTTTGTGCATAATGGGGGAAAGCCATTTTCAGTGTGTTAGCCCATACACTAGATTGGCTTTCTACATTCTCACAGTATTAGAATGAGAAATTTTAAGGTAATTTTAAACTCCAGGCAAGAAAAAGGCTCTCAAGGAGCACTGACTTTGAATAGCGATTTTTTCCCCCATTAGGATGAAAGGCAATCAGCCTTTGATGAAAGTATTATCAGAAAAATCATAGATGCCTCTACTCTGTCTTGGGATAATTTTGGGGTTTTTCCTCCTCTAGAGGACTTATCCACATAATCATATGTTCATCTCATGCTGTTTTGCTTTTCACTGGGGTGAAAGTATATTCTGTCTGTGGCTTCCAATTTAGATGTAAGAATAACAGCAGACAAGTGCAATAATCAAAAGTTGAGAAACCACATTCTTTGCTTTTACTCCTGTCTGATCACACTTTGATATTGACAAGGACACCTGCCCCATGGCAGCTAGAGTCCACAAAAGTCTGTTAAGGCTGTCAGTCCTAGGATTTCCAAATCAGTTCATAGAAACTGAAAGGGACATGCCCCACAATTCAATCCTAGGATTTCCAAATCAGGTCATAGAAAATGAAATGGACATGTCCCATGGTTCTCTAACAAATGGATCCCAGATTACTTTGTAAAAGTCACACAGGTTTTGTGATTGCCAACTTAAAACTATTTCCAGATCGCAAGAGTGGAGGGGAAAATATCTTTGAATTTAGCCTGCTAATTAGTCTAAAATGTCTTCTTCCCTCCTAGCCATATCTATCTCTTCCTCATTTATCTAAAAGAAGCCGAGAATCTGCTCTATCTAGCACAGGTCACTATGAAACAGCTATTGGTAGAAGTCAGAAAGAGGAGACTTGATCTAACTTGGGCACATTGCTGTCTTTCCACTTGGCCTGATTTGAGCACAGGGGACTTGGGGTGAGGGTGTATGTCTCACTCTTTCATACCCTTCAGAAAACAACGCATGCAAATGAATGCGTATTAGCAATTCACAAACATTGCTAATAGGTTTCCAAACTCATCAAAGTTGAGAGCTGGCAGGGACCTTGGAGGCAGATTTGAGCACTGTCCTACCAAGTGCAGTAATTGTCACTGCTCATTTTTTATCTTGTGGGGATGCTTGTCATGCTTCTGTTCAAGCTATTAACCCTTCTTTCCCTGTTGTCCTAAGGAGAGCAAAGTAATCAAGATTCCTTCCAAAGACTAAATCAGCGTAACTTGCCCGTTATCACAGCTGATTAAGTGTCAAAGACAACTGTGTCAAAAAGAATATGTATCTTTTTTTAGGGAGGAAAGGAATGAAACAGACACCCCCATGGACAAAGGTGTTAGCCTGTGGACTTGTCCTAACAATGACATGTGACACAGATTTGGTCCCTTGGGCACTGCTTTTGCAGCTGTTCTGGTCCTTGAATCTGCATGTGATCAGTCATGCCTAGAAGCCTCTGACGGTGCACATTGCCTAGACACTTTCTGAATAAACTTTATACTGGAGTTCCAGGCCAGTGATACACACTTAGAGGAAGCAGGTGTTTTTTTTCATTTTTTCTTTTTTATTCCATTTCTTCCCCCTCTTCCCCTTATTGCTTTTGCATCAGCCCCTGGGACTGCCGGTTTAAGTTATTTTATTAACAAGTCAGGCTCTAATCCCAACAGCTGGGTAATTTTAGTTGTGCAATTAACAGTATAATCTGCTGGAGATCAACTGCTCCCCATACTGAGTGTTTCAAATAAATTAATTGATAAAATGTTGCCACTTTTCCCTGGGCACCCAGACTTTGGCCACGACTTTCATTAGCATTTATTATGTAATTCTCACAGGTGAATTTTTAATTTAAGGAAAAGATCTTTTGTTTGTGCATTTATGCATGTGTGTGTATGCCTGTGTGTGTCTGTGTGTGTGTGTTCTGCAACTGTGAATTTGTAGTGGGCGTGGGTGTTTCCTGCCCTTGAAATAATTAAATTTTTTTTGTCAAAGAATTACATCAGCGAAACCTGAGAATGAAATATGTATCCGGTGTTTCATGTGCTGGAGCATTTGTATTGCCAGATCTGATCATTATCTTGGGCAAACGGGGACTTGACCCTTTTTTTTTTTGGCTAATTCCTAAATTGCACATTATTTTTAAAAAAAGGTTTGTGCACGTTACCACTTTAGCAAACCCAGAAGGTAACTGGCAGCTGATTTTCTCTGTCTCCGGAAGATGTTTTGCCCCTTTGGGAAGTAGTTTCCCTTACTGCTTAAGATCTTACCTCCTCGTTCAGTGAGTTGCTTCTGAGGGAAAGCAGTATTCAAATGTGATCTGATGAATGTCACCTTTTGTAATTTTTGTTTTGTGTCAAATATATGTTTCAGGACTACTTCACAGACTTAATCACTAACGAGAGCATTAATTACTTCAAAATGTCTAAGAGAATGTATCCCCATAGGCCCATTATGATGGTGATCAGCCACGCGGCACCCCACGGCCCCGAGGACTCAGCCCCACAGTTTTCAAAACTGTACCCCAATGCTTCCCAACACATGTGAGTAATAACCTCAGCTCCGGGACCTGCCGAACGCGGGCCCCTCCTTTGCTCCCCATCTCGTTCCTCCTCTGCACCCCGTTTCCTTCCACGCGGCATCTCCACGAGACAGGAACACCGGCTTCTGCCCCGAGACTGCGGAACAGGAAGACCCTGAACTCAAGGGCTTGTCGAGGTGCTTTGTTTAGGAATCACATCAACATTTGTAAGCGGCTAAACGAAAAGAAAGAGAAGCATGCGGGGTGAATGGGGGGCGATTTTGATCAAGGGTTTCCTTCAGTTGTCTTAAATAATATTCACAAACGTGATCTAATAATAATAATGATCAAGCAGTGTGTTTCTCATAGCAGCTGGGTGGCAACCCCTGGTCTGGTTATAAAAACCCAGGTGGATTTCCTGGGCATGGACTGTTGCAGCTTTGCCGCAGATGTGCAATTAGCATTGCTACAGAGGCAGCTGGAGTGGGCTTGCCCGAGAGACCTTCTCAGGTCAGGCTTTCAAATAACCTGATGTTTCTTTTTAAGAGGAGGGGGTGGGGAGGCACAGAGTAGAGGGCTGATGGCATACAGGGACAGGACAGAGAGCAGAGAGCTGTAATGTGCCTATCATTCTCACTAGCCAAAGTCGATGCTTAGGCAGCGAAGGACGTGATTTTGATTTTCACTCTGTCCGCACACTTTCTTCTTATCCATTGCGATGATGCACAGTCTTCTACGCAGAGCAGCTGGCTCTGTGTCTGCTGAAAGTTTGGCCACCAGAGAGGTAGGGAACAGGGTACTGGTGTGTTTCCTTCGTCACTAAACCTCCAGAATACACTCTTCATCTGTTTGTGCTTAAATATCCTCCCTTTTCATCCACGCTGATTTCTATCTATGATCCCAGACAGAAAAAAAAACAAACAAAAAAGATTCAATGTACTTCCTTACGAAAAGAGGTAAGTAACTACGGAAGGCGTTCTAGTTGCTGGTCAAGACATATCCCTGGAAAACTTTTTCTTTTTATTCTTATTTTTTTATCTTATTGTAACTAATAAACTGCTGGCTTCTGGTCAGTGGTACTTAGATCCTCTCTGTCGTATCAAGTGGCTTGGAAAGAAAGAAAGACAAGAACTGACAATATGTATGAAGCCAGGGTGGGTGTCCTACTGAGCATGCCCAGGAACTTGGAGGGTGAAAGTGTTTTGATGCATAAAATATTGTCGACAAAGAAGGTTGCTCCAGCATCTGGGGAATACGGTCTGGATGAGCCATTGTGCTTTGGAATCAACCCTGTGGATGGATATACAAGCCTCTGAAAACCTACCCTACATATAGCTATGCAACTAAATTCATGAATGAAGCCCATGAGTGGTGAGTGGCTCTCCATTACCAATCACTTGCAAATTTAGTAACCAGCTGGTTCAGTGAGAGAAAAAGGTTTTTGCAGGCTTCTTCCATGCCCTGGGACCCACCTTTCTCTTTTCTTTTGAGTCAGAAATCGCTCCCTTTGTTGCGTTAACAGAATCTCAGCCTAAGGTGATTTTCCACAACTGTAAACTTCACTGATGTTTTCCCAAGTTTGAGGACAAGGGGTTGACAAAATGTGTTTTATGGCTCCTTAGAAGTCAGCCTGCCTTTGAAGCTTCAGGGCAAGGTCCTGAGCCTACAGGAAAATCAGCCACAGGTCAAGAGGTTCTGACAGCTCAGCGGCATGCACAGACAGCAGTGCAGGACCAGAGGAATCTGCAAAGTTCTCGGGGCCTCAACAATAGCTTTTTTAAAAAAAAAAAAAGCATCTCTGATTCCAGCAATTTAAAATTCTATTAGTTCCACAAATATTTATGGAGCACCACCTGTGACATTGTACAACACAGCAGGGATATAGGCACAAGGAAGACACAATTGCTAACCCTGGAGACCCAATGAACTAGGACAGAGGTTGGCACAGAGGGGCCAAATCCAGATTGCCACCAGTTTTTATAAATAAAGTTTTATTGAAACACAGCCATGCTCATACAGTTAGGTATTGTCTATGGCTGCTTTTGCAATACAACAGTGGAGTTGCGTAGTTGCCGCAGATACCGTATGGCCCACAGTGCGTAAACTATTTACTGTATGATTCTTTACAGATAAGTTTGTCCTGGTCCCCTGCTCTAGGGGGTAGTGTCCAAATAGCCTTATCAGCTGCAGGCCCAGAAGCACTAGAGCAGGGATCCCAGGGGCTGTGGAAGTTTGGAGGAGGAAGCATGCACATCTTTTAGAGGAACCAGGAAAACTTCGGGGCCCAGGAGGCATTCAAAGTGGGCCGCAAAGGATGGGCAAAATTTCTGCGTCTGATATGCAGAGATTGGGTAGATGAATTCAGGAAGAGAATATGGCATAGAGACGTGGTCGCCATGTAAATGAGGCCATCTAAGATGTGACCTAGGAAAGCAATAAGGGACAAAGCTAGAAAGAGAAATTCACAGAATATTGGGAATTTGTGTGATTTGTATGTAACCATAAGCAGAGAGTCACTGGAGGCCATTTAGTAAAGGTAGAATGACATCATATGTGAGTTGATCATTTTCTCATGCAAAGTTTCCATTATTCCTCTTTAATGCAAATGAACCACCTGTGCGCCTTAGTAGTGATTCTACTAAGTGAAATCTGCACATGGCAGAGTGAAAAGTCCTCAGGCCTTGGAGCCAGACAAGCGTGGGTTCCTATCTCAGCTGTCCTCACTGAGCCTGTGGGCCCTTTCTTTAAGCTCTCAGAACCTGCATTGTCTCATCTGTAAAATGGGAGTAATAACTAGCACCTTGACGTGGTGTCATGAGTGACAATTAAAAGGGGCCCCACCTTGGGCCTGGGACACAGAAGCCACTTCATAGATGCTAATTCTCATTGATCCTTTCTGTTAAGACAAACCATAAAAAACTGTTCTTTCCGGATTGGATCTTTCTTGACCTACAAAAAGTGCTGCTTCGTTTGGTTCAACTTAACGTTTGGGGAAAGCAGCTAGAGAAAGGACGAGTTGATACTTGTCCGTGGTGCCTTGACAAGTCTGTTGACTAGCTAAGACCCGCATTGATGAGGCTCTCACACCTGGCTATTCTAAAAACACAGACAGAAGCAGCAGCCCGGGCTGTGTTATCTTTGCCAAGTGCGAAATGTGCTATAGGCAAGTGCCAGTTTGGAGAACACTCTTGGCCACAGAAGATGAAAATTCACACAGTGGGATGAGTGATTCAGCTTCTGTTTGCTGCTGAGCTTGGGGCTTTGTGTACCTAGAATGGGGAGATCAGCTGTGTCTCCTGCAGACCTTAGAAGCCTTGAATTCAGGGCATCTTTGTTGTAAAAGTCTCCCTGGCTGCCGCTGGAGGAAAGGGCTGGAGAGAGTCCGTGTGCGTCTCTTGTCACTGTGAGTGACTGCCCAGGTTCACAGTTCAGTCCGCACACAAAAGGAGTGAGACAAATTGAAGGCAAGCTTTCCATTGTGGCGCTCGGAGCTCCTGAATGGCTGGTTTCCTTAGCGAGAACAACAGCAAGGCATTCAAGCAAAGGGATGCAAGAAGTTAAGTGCTTTGCAGAGATATTCGGCAGGCCCTAGGAAAGCAGAACGAGAAGCTGCAGGCTCTCCCCTTTCGGCGGGGGGATGCAAGCCATGTGAGCGCTTTCCTTGAGGTCACCTTCCTTGGTGGTCAAGCATTTTCCAGATGCCTTTCATCCGCCTTGGGTTAGAGCTATCTGACCCCTTCAGCCTGCAGCGAATGTATCAGGTTTCCATGGTGTTCGCCGTTCCAACAAAGGAAGGAAGCCAGTCCAATATTGCGGCTAGAGGTTATGCCAGCCGGTTAAGAATGAGAACAGATTACAGACGGACGGAAGACGCTGTTTGATCAGACAGTGGCTCAGCCACTCCTGGCCTCTGAGAGTTCTGAGGGAGCCTCTGTCATGATAATCACCTATAATCACCGTTACCATAGAGCCCTTCACTATGGCTGCGACCCTACTGCCCTTCCCAGTAAATTCTCTCCCCCGTATCCTCACAGTAATGCTATAGCCTCATCCTCACTTGGCATCGCTTTTCTCTCCTGGCCTCAGTGATGTGATAATATGCACCTGTGGACAAAAACCTTTATGAGAAAGGAGATTCCATTTATCTTCCCGATGATTCTATGAAGAGCTCAGACTCCCTGAATACTTTCCTACCAACTATGCATCTATGAACTTAAAAATTTTTTTTGTTCCAATTCAACAGTTCTTTCTTTCCGTCCCTGGAAATGTGTATGACTGTACACGCACACACACGCACACACGCACACTCATGCACACACACACACAGGTTCATGTGAAATCTAAAATTTCGGTAGAACAATCCACATGCACTAAGTTGCAGGAATTGTTCTGACAGTGGAGTTTGGGATGGACATGGCATGTCAAAGGGAAAACTACGTCTGTGTGAGCCTCAGAACAGTTTTCGAAACACCTTTGTTATCTAAAGTTGGAAAGAAATGTCTTGCTTTAAAAAGAATGTGCACGTTGTCCCTCATTTCTTCCACAAATACATAAAAGGATATGCTTTCGAAGATGAGAGAGTTTTAAATCCCCCATAAACATTTGTGATTGGGGCAGAATTCATTGCTCCCTTTCCTATATTCCCACTCTCTTCTTCTCTCTATGTTTACTACATATCCCATTGCACTGGCTGTTTACCCAGATCCCCGAAGTGCAATCGCACAAGTCCAGGGGGCCGTATTCACACTCAGTATCACGTGAATGGTGGCCTGCTGCTAGGCAAGGTCGCCCTTTCCCAAAGGCAGGACCCAGCGGCCCATCTCTACCTCTCGTTGTCTGGTGAGCACAGCTCCTGTTGCTCTAGTTGTACAATACATTTTTGTTTAGCAAATGAGTAAACATGTTAACCCCACCAACTAGCTGACATTAAGACACTATTTTAACTAGTATGAAAATAGTTGGACAATCAGTTTTATAAATTAAATGGGTACCTAGAGATAGTATAATTCCATAAATTTTTAG